TCCAGCCTGGGCAACAGAGTGATTTTGTCTCAAAAAATAATAATAATAATAATAAATGCTACGTAGTGTTGATGTCAAGGAGAGAAAGGAATGATTCCTCCAGGATTACCGCAGTATGATTTTCCAAGGTCTATTTTTTTGAAACAAGGTCTCACTCTGTTGCCCAGGCTAGAGTACAGAGATGCAATCACGGCTCACTGCACCAACCTTGACCTCCTGGGCTCAAGCAATCCTCCCACCTCAGTCTCTCGAGTAGCTGGGACTACAGGTGTGCACCATGTTTGGCTAATTTTTGTAGGGATTGGGTTTTGCCATGTTGCCTAGGCTGGTCATGAAATCCTGAGCTCAAGCGATCTGCCCCCTTTGACTTCCCAAAGTACTGGGATTATAGGTGTGAGCCGCTGTACTCTGCCCCAAGGTCTGCTCTTAGAAACAGGAAGTGAGAGGGAAAATAGATCGTAGTCATTCACCCTTGGAAGAGAGTATAGACTTAACTATTCTAGAGACAGGTCTCATCTCCTCCTGTCAAAGGAGTCTTCTCCAACCTTTATAATGAAAAGGTCAGCTGCCTTTCCTCATATTAACACCCCTCTGTATGTTTCTGGCCAAAGAAAATTCTACCCAGCTACTGAAGGTTGAACAGCAAACATTAGGTGACCATTCTTTCACACTGATGGAAAAAGTCACCAGCTTTAAAGCTCACCTATGACTTAAAGCATTAACTAAAAAAATCTAGAAGGAAACACAAATGTTAACTGGTGGGAATGCTTTTCACTTATATGTGTCATATGCCTCTTAATCTTCTACAACAAGCAAGTTACATTAGTAAAACTAATGACAAAGCTTATTCAACAAAGTTACGTAAAATACACCACTAATGACAAGGACATGGCTTTAATGTTATCCAGGAGACAGCTGATTCACATAGGGTTACTGAACACTAGAACCTGATCTTGAATCTCTCATGTCAACAATAGACAAATGCATTACAATTTAGGGAAAGCTGTTTTCTGGGTACCTCCCAGGTGTTTGCAGAAGAAGGCTAGAATCTGCTTCCAGGCATCTACCTGGGCCTTAGAATGAGCCCTGGGCTCCCCACCCCACATCACATGTTTGTTTACTAATTCGTGAAGGGAAGCTGGGCACAGGGGGAAGTAAGGAGGCTCGATGTAATGCCCAGTCCCAGGGTAACAGATGATCTGGGGTTTTTCCTTTCCATGGGCCTGTAACCGTTCAGAGACTTTTTGGGCATACAACTCACTCCTCCAGTTATGGTCATCCTGACCGACGATGAGCAGGATGGGCCCCTGGGCCTTCTCTACTGGAATCATGCTGGAGTTCTCATACCCTCCTACGAGATCATTCCTTATATCCACGATGTCCATGAGGCCCGAGAAAGCTACCTTGATTCTCCTCAGGTCATAGCCCAATGGTGGAATGCTACTGTGCTTATAGTTGATGGCTTTGTTCCCACTGATCCCAGATCCATTGATGGAAACCGTGGCTGAGACATTCTTCAAGAATGAGGCCATTGAGAGACAAATATCAGCTCCTAAAGAAATGCCCAAAAGCCCAATGCCTGGGCCTTTTACCTGGAAGAAAAGAAGAGAGAAGA